ATCTATGTTTTACTCATATTTATGGTGTTTTTTAATAAATACAATTTTTTAAAACTACTATATCAAAGCTATATTTCAAAATTACTCCAGTTATATTAAATTTACATCATAACCAAATATTTTTTAAATTAAATTATACTTTGTAGTCAAAGTAATATAAATGACAAATTAGGACAATAGTTTTGAAACTGAGAGAGTTGTAGGACCTCAGGCGCTACCAACTTTTCTAAAACCAATTGGTGTTAGAAGAGGCGCATACCCTAGCCTTATAATGCATTCAGCACACAAGCGCCCACGACATTCGACTATGACTTGGCCCACATAGCCTCCGCCATGGGACAATTGCTGCACACATGGCCAACAATATCCCCCTCAGGAATTGCTCTTGCTGGGAATCAAACTCGTGACCTTGGCTCTGATACCACTTGTAGAACCTCATACGCTAACAACTCTTCTAAAACCAAATGGTGTTAGAAGAAGCGCATACCCTAGCCTTATAGTGCATTCAACACACAAGCGCCCACGACATTCGATTATGACTTGGCCCACATAGCCTCCGCCATGGGACAATTGCTGCACACATGGCCAACAAGAGTAAATAACAGTACAAAATTCAAAATAAGTTTACTTCTTTTAAAAATTCCTAACATTTAAGTTTTTTATCAAATGTTAAAAATTTAGACCACTTATTGTGAAAAAAATGTATTTAGTTACTCCCTATAATCTCCCTGTAATATTAATTACACTTTCCGTCCCCCTGTATTTGTCCACTTTTGACTTTTGGAACTGTTCATCTAATCACTTTGACTCATCAAATTCTCTCAATATGTAAGCCTAAATATAGTCATGTGTGATCTTGTTTGACTTGTCTTAACATATAGATTATTAATATATAATTTTTATAATTTTTTAATATACAAATTACAAGATAAAATGGATTAAAGAAGTGCATTAGATGGTGTGTAAAAATGAAAGTGGACAAATACAGGGGACGGAGGGAGTAGTACCTATGTTCCAAAATTATTCTCATGTTTCAAATAATACGGAGTATCTTTTTAAAATGATTTTATTTACACATTAAAACAACATTAAATTTTCTATAAAACAACTAATGTTATGCTTATTTTATTTTATCAAATAATTAATAAAATAACACATAAACAAAAAATTATCACATGTCTAAAATAATATAGTACTAATAACTATATACGATTTACCCCGCAGCAACCAGAGATCCAACTATCCAAGTGTTGTACGGAGAATTTGGGAATGACTAAATGCAAAAATTTGTTTGGGCATATGGAGTATATATTTAAATATCACAACAAATGCCTTATAAAACATGAGGTAAATTTATTATATTATTTTAATAAATAACTAATGAATACAATCTATTCTTAAAAAATGATGAAAGAAATTGACTAAAAATCCTGCAAAATAAGAGATGATAAGAATATAATCTTTTATCAAATAGTCAATGAAAACATGTATATAATTAATATAAACATAAATTATCGATAGACTTTAATAGTAACTGAAACAAAAGATGTATTGAATAGATTTGATCCTCATAAAAATGGAAAATTTGTGTTCAAACATCATACAGAATACTCTCTCTATTTCACAATAACTGTCTATTAAGAATACTAAACTACATTAAATTTTGAATAAATGTATATTTTAACATATCTATATTAATTCAAAATCTAATGTACTCCCTCCGTTCCACAAAACCATTCCTCTTTTGTTTTTTTGAATTCCCTAAAACACTTCCACTTTCTATTAAAAAATCATTTTTACCCTTACTTTTTCATACCCTACTTATCACATCATACTTTTTCACTAATAACCAAACTATCACATCTTACTTTTACCTATCACATCAGGGGCAAAATTGGAAAGTCAACCAAAATTATACTTTCCTTATTTTTCCCAAAAGTCAATACCGGAAGGGTTTAAAGGAACGGAGGGAGTATCTAATAAATCCTAATAGACAGTTATCACGATATGGATGGAATAATTCGTAAGCAGAATTTTTTACAATGATTTTCATAATCATATCATCTATTGTTTTACTCCCTCCGTCCTATATCTTTCTTCCTGTTTAAGGTTTTTCAATCTATTTTATTTAAATATTGGTATAAAAATAAAAAATAAAACATACATATTTAAAAACTACATCAAAAGTTCAACAAAACAAGTGATGACAAAAATATTTTATTTTATCATATAGGCCATGAAAAAACACAAATAAATATAAATTCCCGTGAAGTTGGAACAGTGCTCTGGGAAGAAAGTTTTAGGACGGAGGGAGTATAAAAAAATATGTGATTTATTAATATACTCTAGGGGTGTTCAAAAATATCCGATCCAAAATATCCATCCATGATCAGGCTGATCCGATCTAAAAAAATAGATATCCGATCTAATATTTTAGCTTTCAGACATTTCAGATCAGATACCCGATAAAAATCAGATCAAATATGGATTCAAATTCTGGTATCTCATGGATAATCGGATATCCGATGTTCTTGTCTAAATGTTTAATAGAATTTTATGGATATATATTATGGCTATATGTTTAATGCAATTATATGTTGATTTTGGAACTTGAATTTGGTATCATTTTTTATTAGGCCATTACCTAGTGGTGGAATTTTACTTTTAGTAAATCTGTATTGAATTTGATATTATGGGTTGATTTTTCTATTTTACTTTTTTTTTTTAATTTTGGCTAAAAAGTTAACTTTTTGGATAATTCAGTAATCCGATCCGAAAATTCAGATATCTGAATTTTGGATATCCAAATATTTTTGGATAGGATATAGAATGAGTTTTACATGATTCGAAATTTTCGGATATCCAAATTTTCAGATCGGACCGGATCCGATCAACCTGATTGAACACCCCTAATATCCTCCCTCCGTCATAAATTATTAACAACATTTCGAAGAACGCGTAAAATATAATCTCTTTTAAAATTATTTTAATTAAAAATTAGTAGAGAAATAAAAATAAAAATTATATCATTCAAAAGTACAACAAAAGTTCTAAAAAATAAGATATCACAAGTATATTTTATTTTATTAAATGATCAACCAAAACGAATAAACAAACAAAAGTTATCGAAAGACTGCAATAGTAACTGTGACATTTTTTTTGGACGAAAGAAAATATAAATTATACTCTCTTCGTCTTAAAATTATCTTTCCAAAATTATACTCTCTTGTTAAGTTTTTCAGCATTTCTTTAAATACCCAAAATCAAAATGGATAAATTAATTTGAAAGGCGAAGAATATTAAAACACCCCTCTTTTGCTACCGACATTTTTATTTTTAATTTGTGAACCCAGATGATAAGAAAAAGATGCCACCTAACGGACACTCGTGGCTTTTCTTTGCGAGTAAAAAAGAAAGGATAAGACAAAGAGCTTCTTCTCTTCAGGTACTGCTTTCTTTAATTATTTGATTTAAATAAAATAAGTTTTGAGCTGACATTTAATTATAGTTATATTTAAAGTTATTTTTGATCTGATTTGATTCAAACAAGAAAAAATAACTAGAATAAGTTGAAAAGAGTAAATACGTAAGAGAATTAATTGCAATGTGGCAGACTCTTGCACACATATTTTTATGAAAAATATCAGGGGTACACCAAAATTGTACCCATTTGTCCCCTACCCCCTCCCCCACCACATAAATGGGCAAAAACTTCAAAAAAATTAAATAAATAAAAATTAAATAAAAATGGGTGGTAGAGCAGAGAGTGAGGGACAAATGGGGTACACCAAATGGTGTTGTTATAATTTTTTAATACTTATAAATTTTTATTTATAAAAACCAAAATAATCAAAAAATAAAAATAAAAAACTCATAAAATCAAATTGAATAATTAATAATTTACATACTTTTTATGTAGAACTAAACCGAACCAAACTACCAATCAACTTACCTTTCATTTTGTTTTTAGTTTTAGGTGAAAATCGAATGACAAAAGAAGACTAAACCCTAGCTATGGGTCCTACACCTCCAAGGTAGAGATCCAAAACACACATTACATGGTGGCATAAGGTCGGTCTTTGCTAGGAAATTAGGAATCTCTTAGTATTATAACTCATATTTTAAAAATATTTTGAAATAATTATTATAGTCTCTTGAAAATTTCTATTATAATTAATTTGTAAATAAAATCATTTTTAAAAGAAATGAGATTTTGAATGTTTCTTTTAATGGGAAGAATATATTAAGATCGAGAGTGTATTTTACAGAGTATTATATATGACTTGTTTTAATCTTAAATATATATTTCTCCCAATAAGAAACTTATAAGAGACATGGAAGCAAGAAAGTTATTCCAAGTGTCTTCATATTCAATGTTCGAGTCACATTCTTTGAATTAAAAGTTTGAGATTAGACTGATGGATATGGAAGCTAAAAAAAAATATTACTCCCAAGTTGTATGTTTATTATTTACACTGTCAAATTTTAACTAAAAGTTCCTTACCTATTTTCGCTATCTATTCATAAAAATATTACTCCCTCCGTCCCAAAAAGAATATAATGGGACGGTTTTACTTTTTGGGAAATTAAGGAAGGGATATTTTGGTATTGAATTTCCAAAAATACCCTTGATGTGATGGGTAAAAGTAGGATGTGATGGATAGATTATTAGGAAAAAGGTATGATGTGATAGGTATGGTATGAAAAAATAAGGGGTAAAAGTGATTTTTTAATAGAAATGTAACGGACTTTACGGGACGCAGTTTTTTCTAAACGTAACAAACTTTTTGGGACGGATGGAGTATAATATTATCACTTCTTATTTTGTGGAACTCTTAATAGAGTTTTTAAATATTCCGTATACAAGTTTTATTTTTTAATTATAGTTCAATTGTAATTAAATGAATTAAAAATAATTTTAATTAAATTTTGTAAACAATAATGACAAAATTTACAAATCCGAGTATCCGACACATGTTCTCACATTTGCATGTGTACGTGAACGAAAAACCAGGGCCTGAACTCCAATATGCACAACCTCGGTCAAATTGATTTCTTTAAATATTAATGGCGAAAAGGAAAATACGATTTTTAAATTCAAAATTATATGAAGAATAATGATTTTCATTAATTGAATATGATGTGGTTACATGTATATATATAAGAGGAATCTCAATCTTAAACATGGTAGGAGAGACACAAGGAAGGAAACCTATACAAATAAGGTAAGGGAATAATACAATATATTAAATATATACAATATATTTAACATGCTTCCGGCTACGTCGGATGTGGGGGAGGTCTGATTCCCAAGCTTTGTCTGAAGTCCAGAAATAATAAAGATGGCAGTCCCTTAGTGAAGATGTCAGCATACTGCGAAGACGAGGGAACGTGGAGAACACGGACATGGCCGAGTGCTACTTTGTCACGGACAAAGTGAATATCAACTTCCACATGTTTGGTGCGCTGGTGCTGTACAGGATTTGTCGATAGATACACGGCACTGACGTTGTCGCAAAAGACAAGGGTGGCACGGTGAAGAGGTTGCTGCAGCTCAAGTAGAAGGTTCCGGATCCAGCTCGTTTCTGCAACGGCATTGGCTACAGCGCGGTACTCAGCTTCTGCGCTCGAACGGGAAGTGGTGGCCTGACGCTTCGAGGACCATGAGACTAGGTTGTC